ATCTAAAACGAAAAAAAACTTGTATCTCTGTCGTAGATTTTCTGTCTAGCTTGTTGTCTTCCTTTATTTTCTGTGAAACATGGGAAATCAGCATGTTGTTGACCTTCATCTGCAAAGATTTATCCATTCCAGAAAAGTAAATTTGCCAACATTGCACCTATCAAACGAAGAGAGTTGAGTGTCTCCAGCAATTTTGTTTTACTTGGAGCCAATATCACCAGAGACTTCCCAAAATACACTGTTTTAAAGCTTTTCTTTCCTCAAAGTCCAGTGAGTACAGAAGTGGTCTTCAGCCAGATGTCCCCTTGAATGAAGTAAAAGTGCATCTGGGTTACGTTAGGCTTCGTAGCTGAGATTGCCTGTTGATACTGGTGATGTACTTCAAATTAGCCGATGTGCTTTAGCTCTTTCTTTATATACAAACAACGTAAGAGGAAGATATCCCATTACAAGTAGTCACTTGTAGTCACTCAAGTAGCCATCAGGGTGGAAGAACATTATCTCAAACATATCTTAAACATCAGGGTGTTTCCTGCCTCTCCTGTCTACTTGATAGGTCAAGAACTCTGCCATCTTGAAAATTCTTGTAGAAACTTGTTGCTGTGGCAGTGGTAAAAGGATTTCATGTGAGCCTGGAGTAAGGAAACTGGAAACATCTTGGATTTTGTACTCTGGATTGAATAGTCCCTCCCTAAAACAATACACTGTGGAAAATTTTGAGGTGGAGAAAGAGAAAAAAACCTTCTTGTCCACCATCTCAAAACATTGGAGAAAAACACCTTTTTCTAAGATATAGGTGAAGTCCAAAGACTCTGTGTTTCCTGTCTCCAGAGTGCAATATCTCTATGTAAGAAGAATTTCTGAGCTCCAAATGGAGGTTTGATATGCCATAGAATTTCAAGTACTCTGTTTCATCACTTTTTCATTGACTAAAAAAGCTGCATGATGTGAAGAAAGGCGAATGTAGTCTCTTGTCCTTCCTAAATTAAATTCTTAAAAATGTTCTTTTTCCATCCCAGGAATCCTAGTGTATACTCATGTCTTCTTTTGTTTTTCCTGTCTAAGCAAGCAGACATACTATATAATCTTCACCAAATATAATTTATACTCATCTTACATTTTTGCATTTTAAGACTCTAAGAAGCAAAATTAAGTATACCTTACTCTAGTACTTGAGTATTTTTTTAATAGATAACTGCACAATTTCAGGAGTATTTTTTTTATAGATAACTGCACAATTTCAGGTTAGCACTGGTTAATAGTATCAGAGAAGAATAGGCATCACTGTGATTCCTGTGAGAATACAGCTAAACATATTTAAAGAAATACACAGTCCAGAAGTCCTGAAGCTAGTTACTGCCATTTATTTTGGTGGTGGTGTATCCTTGTCAGGATGTCATGTATGTCTCACCTGAGTTACTGATGTATGATATAGATTCTTTTTATAAAAATATTTACATCATCCTTTCGTGACAGCATTGCTCTTCATTAAGTACTTGAGGATTTTGTATCTTTTATTTTAAATATAACTTAATGTAAATTAGGAACTGAAAGACTATCCTAACTCCTAAACTTTTGGTAGACTCGTCCTAGAGCTCGAGCATAGTTGCCTCTAGCTCTTAATATGCTGACTGTGGTTCTCCAGAAGATGGATTCACAGGATAATGTTAACACTACTATGTTTTTCTTGTTTAATCCTTGCTTCTACATTGTATTGGATTCAATATATGGATCTCATATTCTTTTTTTACAGGAGTAGCGAATATGTATGGTTTATGTAAAATGCGTGTAATGTTTACAGTTTATTGTATTCCCATTTTCCTTTAGCATGACACAGCAGTTTATTCTTTCCCTCTACACGCTTTGGCTTCTTTCCCCTTATGCTTCTGTCTCTTAAACTTTCATCTTTTCCTCCTTTGTCTTTCCTATCCATGTTATAATTTCTTGTATGCTTTGCTTTCTTCTGTTATTTTCCTCACTCTTTCTACCTCTGGGGACATGGAGGGATTTCCTAAATCCGTCTGTCATGTGTTTCCTTCTGTGAACTTCCATTCCTCTCCTAGGTTCCTATCACCACTTATTTCTGCTGCATTTTTGTCTCTTTGGGAACAAGATTTCAACCTGTTTGTTTCTAGATTTCCTAAAGATGGGATGCACGTTCACTGGCATCTGTTTTCCTTGCAGTGAGACCAAACTTTGAGGAAGGTGGGACAGCAACAGCGGGGAGGAAGCATGAGTTTATACGCTCTGAGAGCGAGAACTGGCGCATCTTCAGGGAGGAACAAAATGGGGAAGATGATGATGGAGGCTGGCGACTGGCTGGGTCACGGAGGGATGGTGAGAGGTGGCGTCCTCACAGTCCAGGTGAGAGGAGAGCTGGAGAAAAATGTAGCTGTAGGGACAGGGCAGTGAGTGAATCAAGGCGTGGAGATAGCAGGGAAAAGGGAGTTGGCATAAAGTTTGGGACAAAACCAGGTAAGGTTCATGCAGTTTTGGTCATTAAATACTGTTTTGACTTACATGGGGCTCTTGGTCACAAAACGGTTAACACAAAATTATGTGCATTTTTTTTTCTTTTTAATGTTTTTTACACCCCAGTATATTTAAAGGAACAAAATTTTTCAGGGGTGTGTGTGTCTGTGCTGTGCTTCAGGTGCATGTATGCCTGGTAAAACCAGTTGTGTTTTTTAACAGTACTGTTCCTCTGTGGTTGCGATGCTGAGGGGAGGGAAGTTACCCATGTTAGGTAGCATATCTAAGGCTGAGGAGTGATGCTGACACTAACCCATTCAGAGGGTTGACCTCTTTTCTAGTTTTACAAATGTGTTTGCAATGCCAAGAGACATCCTTGGAAAATCTCAAAACGTGTTGCTCTGTGCATCTTGTAGTTAGTTACAGGATGTCATATCTCGCTAAACTTCAGGCATGTGTTTGGTGTCACTCTCCCCTGGCCTGGCCTGACAAAGTCAGTCTGGTTCACTTGCTTTCCAGCATTGCATTGCCAGAGTTGCAGGAGAAATACAAAGTAGAGCTTGGTATTTGAGTAGTATGGCTGAAACTTTTTGCCCCACTTCTTCTCGGGAAAGATCCCGCTAGCCAGTGATACCTGTTGTGGGATCTTGGTTTTGAGTATCTTTTGGCTGCACAAGGCTTCTGGGGAACCAGGGGAGAGGGTTGTGGCTCTTCTAGTGTTACATCTTCATAGGGAAGTAAAGGAAGCATGGAACATTTTTGGAGCAGAGACGGACAACTACTTTTCTTCAAATAAAAAAAGTTGCATTTGCTCTTACTATGGCTGTATCGCCCTTTTCGACATCCCAAAGGACTTTCAGTGCTATAATGATCGTGAGCAACCGTTACTTCTGTTCCCAACCCTGTCCACAGCTTTGTATTACTCTGCCCTCAAACAACTGTGAACTTGTGCTAAAACTTAGCAGTGAGCCTGAGGCTAGATTTATTATCAGATGTTTTCTATTTAGAGCAGGGCTAAGGGGCAAATTTTGAAGCAAGTAGTTTTCTTTTCCCCAGTGTTTAGTCATGGTTGTTCATTAGACACTGCTGCTTTGTAATATAGTTCAGATGACATCGGGCCACCTACGATAGTACCTCATGATGATCAAATGCAGCATGATACTCGAGTGGAGTGTTTTGCAAGTATAAGCCTGCATGCTTTAGCTTAAAAGGAAGCACAGACTTCAAAGTTCAGAAGTTTATTCATGTCTTAAACATTTTTGGAAAATGTTCTGAGGAAGGTTTTGAAAATTCATCTTACTTCCAGCATAGGAAATATTACTGCTTATTTGAATTTTTGCTGTAGTAGCCAACCAACTTAACTGCACTTACAAGTTAGTTTTAGCAGGTATAATAAAAAGCCTGTTCTAAGAGTTCTGTGAAGCTGCAGAGAGTTTTCTGATTTTGAGATTGTCTGAGTTGACAACTGTATGGTACTAGTTTCTCAGCTTTGGTCACAGCTGTATTTGAATTCTCCCGTTAGTAGTAGCCACAGGACCATCAAACTAGTTTTAATCACATTCTTGCTTTAAACAATGAGTTTAACTCAAATTGGCATGGCTTAAACTGCTTCTTTGTACTTATTCTGCTGTTAGGTAATAATACTAATCATGTGTCCTGCTAAAAATAGAGAAATGTCTTCAGAGTATTGTTGTCATTTGTTTAGCTGGACTTTCCTTTGACTTGGCTCTGCCTTCTCCCCAGTAGATTGTATACTGCTTGTTTTTTTTCTTCTGGGTGAGAACGGTTTAGAAGAAGGTAGCGCTTGTCAGGCTTGAGTTTATCATCTTCTATTGTTGAGCAAAGAAGAATTTGATTCCTGCAGACCATTGTTTTACCTGCTTTTGAATTCCTCTTGCTCCTTCAGCTGTGTTTATGGCAGGATGGCTGACCTAAATCTGCTCGTTTTGTGCTTTTTTAATAGGCACAAAGGATCAAGAGGATGAACTGCTTCTGCTGAAGCAGTCTTGTGCCCCTGATATAATTTCCCAGATTCTGTGGTCTGATTTATTGTAGCTACAGTTAACTCCCTTTGACGTAGTTGAAGGGATCTGTCGTGTGTCCATGCTGTGTTTAAACTGTTCTCCTCCGACATGGCTATGCCTTGTATGAAGTGAGCAATCTTCTGAGTATTGGTAGTAAAGTGAAGAAGCAAATCTGTCAGATAAACAGATCTGACATTTGATAAACAGTGATACTGCACTGATTGCACAAATTCTGAGACCAAAAAAAGAACTTTTTTTTCTCTGGAAGAGAACACAGGCACCACTAAAAGCATTAAAAATGAAGGTGCTTTCATTTTTACTTTGCACTTTTCTGGTAAAGATAGCTTCTATTGGATGCAAAGCTGTTTACAGTCCTTTTAATCCCAATTTGTTTTCTTTAGCAGGAAGTTCTTTACAGTTTAAATGGCATTATCACAGTCAGCGGATACTGAGTTTGGCTGAATGAAGATGCCTTCTGAATAGATTAGTAAGAAAAGTGAAATAAAATTTATACTTTAATTTTGGAGGTTTTTCCCTCTTACTATCATTCTGAGTTTCAGTATTCCATGCTAAAAAATTACCGTTCAAGAGATTTAACGGTCCTTTCAAAAGTATTTGAACAGTTGTCAGTCCATTTTTCATGTGTATGCACACAAGTGTCTCTGAGGGCAAGCTGAGAAGATGAGTGGTTCATTCAGGATGTGGCTTTTGCAGATTGCCTAGAAGAAAATACAGAACCTTATACATATAAATCTTTTTTTTGCATCTTTAGGTCGATGGCTGGTAAATTCAATCAGTGTCTAGTGTTGCTTGTCTTATTTTGGTGCTCCAGCATGGTTTAGATTATGTAGCCCAGCTTTCGTAGCCTTACATGTGTTTTTTTTATGCTCATAATACAATTTATAATGTGGGGATATAGTGGACAACATTTGAAAGTCTCTTGCTTAATGGTAAGATACTTTTGCTTTCCCTTGTCCTTTAAGATGCCTGTTCATCTTAACAGGGTGCATTGTACCCTGTAGGGGCTTTCTGAATTTCTGTCACTGTTTGTCATCTCTTCACCCTTCCAAGTAAGCGGCTGCCCCCGGGACTGTCTTGTAAAGTTACTTTCCCCCCGCCTTAGATGGCCCTCGTTCTGCAGGCTGGCGAGAACACATGGAGCGACGGCGGAGGTTTGAATTCGATTTCCGGGAACGAGATGATGAACGGGGTTATAGACGAGTGCGGTGTGGGAGTGGCAGCATGGATGACGACAGGGACAGTCTCCCTGAGTGGTGCTTAGAAGATGCAGAAGAAGAAATGGGAACATTTGACTCCTCTGGAGCGTTTCTCTCTTTAAAGGTGAAAATCTGTCTTGGGCCCTTTGTTAATTTTGAGCAAATGTCCTGTTGTGTCAGGTGGATTGTGGATGATTATGTTGACTTTGTAGAAGGTGCAGAAGGAGCCAATCCCTGAGGAACAGGAGATGGACTTCCGACCTGTGGAGGAAGGGGAGGAAAGATCCGACTCTGAAGGGAGCCACAGTGAAGAAGCCAAAGATCATGAAAAGACAACCAAGAAAGAGGGGGAGAAAACAGATAGAGTCGCGGCAGGTAAGGGGGACTTCTCATACATCTGTTCTGTGCTGCAGTGTAAGATTTCCGTTAATTCAGTTACGTAGAACCATGCAATGTTACAGAAGCAGTGGAAGAAGCAGTCCAAACATCTTCACCGGCTGCCAGGTCGGATACCCCACCGAAATCCCAGCCTCCAGATCCCCTGCAGACGAACCTTTTCGAAAGGAAGGAAGAGTCTGTGCCAGAAAGGACAGAAAAAACAGAAGATAAAGAGAATCGAACAGAGAATACACCGCCAGCCAAAATGTCCAACAGAGGGGAAGGTAATAAACCTGATAAATAAATTTAGTAAGTTTCCATTACTCGTTGCAATTAGTCTCTTTTAAGAGGCAGGGACTGGATTATGGTGATGAAAAGCTGGAATTTCCCAACTGGTCTATAAACACAAGTTTTGTTGGATACGCTTTCTCAAATGCTTGCAGTGAACTGGTACTTCACATTGCAATGCAGTCTAGAGAAACACGAGCCTCTGGTAGAGCAGATGAGTCTGGACAAATGTTTGTGGCCAGGGAATGGGATATGCTGAAATGTGCTGAATTCTGCACTGTTAGAACTAAAGCGGTTGTTCCTTGAAGTTAGGTTGGGAGTCTGTGCTGTGATCAGTACCAATATGCAGTTACACATACAGGAAGATCTGAAAACACTTTTCCTTTGGTGCTAATTTTGAGCTGTTGAAAAGTAATTTTCATTTATGTTAAAGATAATGAACTAATTTTAAATTTTTTCTTTAGATTTGGCTTCTGTTGCTCAACCTTTGCCACAGATTTCTGCAGACACAACTTCTCCTGCTCATCTTTCTCCTCCTGTTTCCAATTCAAATCCGGCTCTGCGGCCAGTACAGACACCTGTTACAGCTGCTCCAGGCATGGGCAACATTCCCACTGACCCAGATGATGAAGAGGGCCTCAAACACCTAGAGCAGGTAAAATTTCTCAAATTCCTTTGTTGTTGACAATCGTGAGACTGGAGGAATGTGGAATGCAAGAAATACTTGAAGTCCATAAAAACAGAAGTCCAGCTGAAACTTTACACTCCACAATGTATACTGAAAGCCACTTTTTCTTCCCTCTGTTATTTTTTTGGAGAATAATTCAAGCCTACGTAGTATTTTCTGAATAAGGTTACTATATTCAGTGTTAAAGAGCTACAGATCCTGGTGCTTGTTGAAGAGGTAAATTTTCAGAAATTTTCATACTTCACTAATGCGTTTTAAAACAGGAAAACGTAAAAGCAGCTGGTATGTTTGTATCCACTATAATCCAGCCACATTTCTGTATCCTTACCTCTAATTTAGCATACACAGAAATTCAGAATCTAGAAAACAGGTTTGCATTTAGAGGGTAGATTTAGCTTAGATCTGAAGAAGAAATTCTTCACTGAGGGTGGTGAGGCACTGGAGCTGGTTGCCGAGAGAAGCTGTGGCTGCCCCATCCCTGGAAGTGTTCAAGGCCAGGTTGGATGAGGCTTTAAGCAACCTGATCTAGGGGAAGGTGTCCCTGCCCATGGCAGGAGGGTTGAAACTAGATGATCTTCCAATGCAAACCATTCTATGATTCCATGATTTTAAAGCTTTACTTAAGCAGGTGAACCATGATTACTCTTGATTCTGACAAGGTGGTAGACTAAGCGCAGGGTTTGTGGTGCAGTTACATGAGTCCTTGAGTTGCCTGTGATTTGTAGTACACTCTAGAGCCCTGGGTGTAGTACAAGGTGGTTGTATTTGGCACACTCATTTTCAACTCTGTAAGCACACAGCTAACTCTTGTATTCCTTGCTGGTTTTGATGTCTTCTGCAGCAAGCAGAGAAAATGGTGGCATACCTGCAGGACAGTGCCCTTGATGATGAAAGACTAGCAGCAAAAATTCAAGAGCACAGAGCAAAGGGTTCTTCTATGCCGTTGTTCCATGAAGCCATGCAGAAGTGGTACTACAAAGATCCACAAGGAGAAATTCAGGGTAGGTCTGTGCCCTTTACACTTCCTCTTTTGTTTTGCAGAACTGTTAAAAAGTTCTTCACAAAATTACTGCCAACAGATACTGATGCTTCTTTTTTTAGAAAAGCAGCACAGGGAATTCACCACTCCAGAATTAGGTTTTGAAAATTCTGTCCATCACTGCCCCCATCAGCTCAGCATGCCGAAATTTCAGAATTATGCTTTATCATGGCTAAGATTTGCCATCACTTCATGCTTCTGTAAATTGAGGTTAGACTAAAACGTGTTTTTCATGCCAGTAGTTACTCAGATTTCCAGATACAGTGGAAACAAAGAATGTCACCGTTCAGTAGCTTGTTGAAGAATCCATGAGAAACATTGACATCAGTTTTCTAGTCTCAGCCTGAAGACATGAGTATTCAGGGAAGGGTAACTTGTTTAGAGTCTAGGGCAAAGAGAAAGCAAAGCTTCACAAGCCAGTGCTCACGCGTAATCTCAGTTTAAATTGCACTTGCAGCCAGTGCATTTCAGTTTGTGCAATACTGACTGCTAATGCTTGCAGTTTCTGCTTCAGAAATCTCATTTATTTTGTACTGAAAGTTGGAACAGGCCTTATGTATAAATACTTTCATCACTACTTCCATAAGGTACTTTTCTTTTGGAGGTCTCAGGGTTCTGTTTTAGCAGCTGCTTAGCTGTGTCCCAGAAATGCAGTTAAGCAGTGAGTTGCTTACTTGCTGTACTTCACTAAGTAGTAGCAGCAGCTAACGTTGTTCAGCGTGAATGACTTCCTCAGCTGTGAATTCGAGATAGGATTTGTGGGGATGTTATTTGTGGGATCTGTGCCAGTCTCTCGTTTGCAAGTATTACACATCTTTAAGGTTTTCTTCTCACCTCTTTAAGTTTAAAGGATGTTAATCATAACATGTTTTTATTTGCTCATTGTGCTTCAAACTGTGTGTTAGTCACTGCTGGGTGTTCATTACTCAGTGATGGCCTCACAGGTTTTTTTCATTGGAGTAAGTACTTCCCTGAATGTGATCTCAAGAAAGAAACACTGCCACATAATTTTTTTCTTGGGATGCCTCTTGTGGTTTTTATTCTCTGGTAGGAATTACCTTCTAAAGATAGTTTTGCAGAGAAGGCAAGGATTACTGAACATTCTTGTTTTTCAGAAGATATTTTTGCAGAAATTGTATTGATGTGGTTCTTACTCTGTTAAGTAACCTTTTTTAAAATATATCTATACTGGCTTTGTGTCCATTCGGATATGTAGAAGTAGTATAGGAGTCCTGCTTTGAAGGGAGTGACTGAAATCTTTCTTTGGGAAAAAGAGGAAGTGATGTAGTTTTTTTGAGAAGGAAAGAGAGAAACTGGTTTCCTTATCTTAAAAGACGTGATCTTCCACTCAGAGGTGTATCTGCTTGTCTGCTAAGTTCCAGAAGCAAAACTTCTATAAAACATAGGAATTCCTGTGATCTGAAGGCAAGAGCTGAAACAGGCTAAGATGGTTTGATTACCTGTGCAGTATAAGTGGGGAAAGCAGCGCTTGTGCTTTTAGCGGGTGCTGCTGAGGTGCAGACTGGAAGGAAGTTGCAACTGTTGTCAGCCTGATGCTGAGCCTGAAGCAGTGAGCTTTGCTGGAAGGCAGGATGGGTATTAGCCGGACCCAAGCTCCGCACCACCGTGGCTGCTTGGCTTTCATCTCAGAGCTGACTCATCTCCCTCCAGTGCGTGGTAGAATCAGTCACTCTCTTTTTAATAAGGACTGTCCGGGGGAATGTGTAGCAACTGTAAAGATGTAGATATGTGCATTGACACTCCAGCCTTCAATGTGCTGTCTGTCCAGACAAGTGGACGAGACGGACGGCAACACCTGACGCTAGGTACCGTGTTACGTTAACAAGCACCACGCTCTTTGTTTCCCAGATGTTCAATTGGGCCTTACTTCCCCTTTCCCCCCATGTGTATTGGTTGGTGTTATTTCAGGTCCTTTCAGTAATCAGGAGATGGCAGAGTGGTTCCAGGCTGGATATTTCACTATGTCGCTGTTGGTGAAGAGAGCCTGTGATGAGACTTTCCAGCCCCTGGGAGACATCATGAAAATGTGGGGCAGGGTTCCCTTCACTCCAGGTCCAGCACCGCTTCCACATCTGGTAATTATGTGACTAGCTGTTAAAATACTCAAATAGTCCTTTAACAAATAGAAATTGAATTATTTATGTATCAACTGCTCTGTCGTGGAATTGCAGGTGTTCCAAGCACCAAAGCTGAACCCTGTGTTAAATTACCTTTTTAAGAGGCGAAAAGACACTCCATTTAAAAAGCTTTGTTTTGCCATGCCTGTGACTGGAAGGCTTGGTCCTGTGTGGTGTATTTCACAGTCATGTTACAGGCTTTGTTTGTAAAGGTTGATCTTTGTCTCTATTTTTCTGTTTTCTTTGTCTTTTTTTTGTTCAGGGTGCAACTTTTACGTTGCTTGCATTTGCAATCTACTACTGTTGTTACATGTTACTAAAATAGAACACTTTTTTCCTATACATAGGGTGAGCTGGACCAGGAGCGGCTGACTAGACAACAAGAGTTGGCCCTGATCCAAATGCAGCACCTCCAGTATCAGCATCTTTTAATACAGTAAGGCTGCCAGTCCCAGAGATCTTCCAGTGGCTGGGGTTCTATCCAGTGGCTGTGTTTCTGCTCTGCGTTTTTAATCATCTGGGTTCATCTTCTTGTTGTTGTTTCCTTGGACAATGGGTTTGGGAGTGCTTCACCTCCAACATCAGTAGCCTACTTCCACAAACACCAGGGGATTGATAGTCTACAGGATTAGGACAGAGCATGACTACCTCAGGCATGCTTTTCAGAGTCGTCTTTTGGTGTCATGCATAGCTACTGTGGTGAGACCTGCTATATAGGTAGCTGTTATGGTCAGACTGAATCCCAGCTATCCTTGTAACACAGTTCAGATGTTTTAGAGTCAGGGGAAGGCTACCTGCCTTTTGATCTGGAGGTGTAGAAGGCAGAACTTATTTTTGATCTGCTTGCTCAGCTTTATGAAGATCAGTGGAAGGTAACTGCTGGAGGAAGCAGTTTGTCATCTGTTTTTGCCAAAGGTGTCAGTTGTTTGGATCTGGCCAGTGCTTAACAGCTTGTTTTGTAGGAGCCTGGAGAAAAGAAAGCAGTTGGATAAGACTGCTCATTCAAGGAGTCCTGAAAGCATGTGTCATGATTATGGTTTTTGAACACTGATTGTCAGCTTATGATTTGAAAAGGCAGGGGATGTACTTCATCCCCCTGTACTAGGGGATGCCTTGGCGTACTGGGGAAGAGATTGATCTGTATAGGTGGGCAGTCATCAAAGGCAGATTAATTTGAGCAATCCGTATGTAATTTATAGAAAAAGGGAAGTAGTGTTGCACAGCTTACAGGAGAAACATTGGACAGCAATAGCCAGTTGGCATAGTTGAGGATGAAGAGAAATTAGGTTCTGCTCATGTGGGCCAGTTTGTTGTAGTCTTGTATTTTGATTCTTTCCAAGGCCCTGTCCTGTGGTTTCCTTGAGTATTTAGCATGTACATTATATAAGTCAGTGGGCATTAGTCCCAGAGAATGAATCTATGCGCAGCCTCGGCATTATATAAATGAGCGAGTGAACAAATACCAGTAATTCTCTGCTTCTCTTTTGAAGACAACAGTATGCACAGGTGCTGGCGCAGCAGCAAAAGGCAGCCCTCTCGTCCCAGCAGCAGCAGCAGCTCGCTATTCTCTTGCAACAGTTCCAGGCCCTGAAGATGAGGTGAGTGGGCCCAGACTTGAACTGAATACCATTCTTCCTACACTCTGACTTGTATATAGTGATAACTATAATCTTGTCAGTGGTCTGTCCTGTTCAAATTGGCTGATGTTTTAAAGATTGCATGAATATGAAACAGTTGCAGGATGTTAAGTATTTCTTTATATATGTAGCCTTTACCTCAGAGAAGGCTTATGAAAACGGGGAGGAAAAATCTTAGTTGAAATCATGCCTTTTTGACAGATCCGTTGTAACAGAATGGCTTTGCCAGCTGAGTTCTGCAATATGAAACACTTGTTCCTCAAACTAGCCTATAAGCAGCAAATGCAAAACTGTAGTGGTAGCTGGTTCAGCCCTTGTCTTGGCAGCAGGGTTGAGATAAACAAGAACTCTGCAAGCAAGTAGTATTGTCCACGTCATGTTTTTGTTAAAATAGAGGTGTGGAAGGAAAGGAGTATGTTACAAGTTACTGAATCTCATGCATGTTCAGAGCACTCCTCTCCCTGGAAGTGGCATGTTGACTCTTCCTGTTGATATTACAGAATATCTGAACAGAACATGATGCCACCTGTTACAAGGTCTGTGTCAGTGCCGGACACTGGCTCAATATGGGAACTTCAGTCGGCCTCACAACCTACAGGTAAGATGCTTAGCATGCGAGAAAAGCTCATGGATTAAGAGCCAGTGTCTTTGAGATGATTGCTCCCTTTTTGACACGAGGGGATATTATTTCTGCATCAGTATTTTTTTAACTGGTTCAGGCTACTTTGCCTTTCAGTTTAAATTCCATTTGAGAGCTGTGAAAAATATGGTAATTTTTGCTATGATTATGAGAAGCCTTGATCCAAAGGGATTGAGTGTTATAAAGGTGTTCTGCCTTGATGGGAGCAGTTTGAATAGCTGGGTCTTGTGTAGAATTTTGTTGGAAACTCAGTCTTGCTTCAGTAATGGACAAGTGTTCTTCTACAGGAAGAGAAAGTGGCCCTCTACTGGCTAAGACTAATGTATTGTCATGATTGTAGTTCATAAAATATGGTGACTGCATACACAAGATTTTCCCCTTTCAGTTGTTTTTTGTTGATGTGCTTGTTTTTGCTTGTCAATGTTTGTTTTCTTCACTATCTAGTCTGGGAAGGAAGCAGTGTCTGGGATCTCCCCATTGATACTGCAGCTCAGGGACCAGCTCTAGAACAACTTCAGCAGCTCGAGAAGGCCAAAGCTGCAAAGGTCAGAAACTGTTTTGTACTGTAAGAAGTTGGTTGGGATTGCTGTTCTGCAATGTAACCATGTTTCTTGAGCCAGTGGAAGACTATTAGCTCATCAATCTTCAGGCCACCCTGTATGATTTTGATTAGATTTTCATGGAAAGCACCATACAGAGAATGAGTTATGAAATCCTTGTGGACTGTTGTTTGGAAACTGTTGCTGTGGAGGTGCTACTGACCTCTAAAGTAGTGGTTATATCTTTTACACTTGCGATTAAAAACTCTTCACTAGCCACCTCTGTGTTAAAACGGGATCATCATCATGAGCTGTCATGCCAAACCCTGAGTAGGAGCAGGTGGTCGTTCTCTTAATCCTTGCATCTTTTCACCAGAATTGGTTTGGGGAATTGTAAGTGTCCTGTTTGTCAGGGTTGTTTCGCACTTAACTCCAGTACTAAATTTTCTTTAAAAAATTTGAACCTGTGTGATTCTGTACACTTCCTGAAACTGATTATTTTATGATGACTGCAAAGCAACTCGCTACGAGCTTCTAAAGTCAGAGGTTATTTTAAGGAGCTGACGTAGAAAGACTGACTAGAGCACTGGTCTTCGTTACAGAACAGAAACTTTTGGAAATCGTTCTAGGCTGTTTCAGGAATCTGACCCCAGTAGGCAGCCAGCTGTTAGGTAAATTTACAAATAAGGGAGAGCATCTGTCAGAGGCTTCGTCTGTTATGTTGTTACTATAATCTCAGCAGAGTTGCCCTAAGAGATGGTGTAGGAATACGTTACCTGCATCTGAGTATAGTTTTATGTGAATTGTAGCTAGAGCAAGAGAGGAGAGAAGTGGAAATGAGGGCCAAACGAGAGGAAGAGGAGAGGAAAAGGCAGGAGGAGCTTCGGAGGCAACAAGAAGAGCTACTTAGGAGGCAGCAGGAAGATGAGAGGAAACGACGGGAAGAAGAAGAACTGGCCCGCAGGAAGCAAGTGAGTTTCCTCAATGTAGTTCATCTCTAATTAATTTTAATACTTTATAAAACTCACTTTAAGAATCCTGTGGGGTCTAATTAATCTTTGGTAGGTGTGTATGAAGACAGTTCTAATATTTTTCATGTGAGTATATGAAATGATTCTTCTTCTGTTCTTGATTTGAAATTTAAGAGCCCAAATTGCAGTTTGAGAAATGGGCTTCGATGGATCACTTCGAGATAGGTTCCAGTTTGTGAGCTCAGAGGCTTTATTCCATGTGGAATATTCCCCCCCACCTTCTTAGTGTCGATATTAGACTTTAGTTAGTTGCCCAGTTATTGTATGTTTAACCTCTATTCACCATATGTGCAGTCTAGTGTTTTGATAAGGGTATGTTCTGGAGTAGACTGGAGCTTGAGCAGCTGTTTCAAATGAATAACATGAAGTGATGTGACTTTTAGCTTATTTTTTCCCTTTTTTTAACTTAATTTTTTAATAAATCATTATTTGGGTTATATTGTAGAGTCCATCAGCCTTATTTTGAGTTGATATTTGGGAAAGGAAGGGACGTAGTTCAGACAAGCAGACTTGTTAAAATTAATGATGTGATCTGTGTTGCTGTAGGAGAATGAATGTAGGAGTTGTAGTATGTTCTTAATCTTACGAGAACACAAAATGGAGACGTTATTAGCTTGATGTCTCTAGCATTTATTTCTGAATTCTGTATGGAAGAAAGATTAGTTGTTCTTTAAGTGTTGTAGGAGGGAGAGACGGCGAAAGTTGAAGTTTTCACTCTGTGTGTGAAGGATAAGAGCAAGCACATTGTTGAACTTATTCACTAAGAACCTGAGTCAATAAATGCCCTGTAAAGTAGCACATGAATAATAGGTTGAAAATAATAGTTTTGTCCTTTATAATGTTTTCCATGTGCATAGGTAGGCAGTTGTAAAGTGCATTTTCTGGTTTAAGGATCAAACATTTCTGAGGAAGCCTCTAGAATCTTTAGTTTTATTTGCAAGTTAGTCATAGACCTCAATTCAACAGTCTGAGTTTGGTCACTGAAGATCTATTTGAATAGACTGTTGTGATAGGTAGTTAGCTTTCATGGTGTCGTCAAGAATCAAGTCTACAAATAAACAGCTCCTTGCTTTAATATATCTGCTTTGTGTACAGCAAGTCATTATGGTATACAGTGGAGAAGCATCCTTCAACACTTGAGTTCAAGCTTTACTATAGCACTAAAGCAATAATTACCCAAAAATTTAACTTTTGAGTTAAGTTGCTTTAGATCTGATTTAATAACAACTAATTCTTCAGCTGATCACCTGATAACTCAATGTGTTTCATCCATGGTGGCTTCAAATAGACTCGGTTTGTTTCTTTTCAGACTAACAGTTTTGTTACTGTGTATAACTTCTCTAGACATGTCCATTAAATTCCAGAGTTTTTTGTCCACTTTGGATTTGTGCAGTGAACAATCTGACTCTCCCTTTCTGAGATGTCATGGAAAAAAATTGTTTACAAGGAGGAAGCAGAATGGGGTTGAAAAGCAGTAACAGCAAGTATCTTAGTTCGTTACCAATGGAATAATTGCCACAATGCTTAATTCTGAGCAGTAATGTCTTGAAAAGGTAACAAAGAGTTTTAAGCACTTCTCTGGGAAGAGAAAATAATACTGTATTCTGTATTTAAAAAACAAACAACTGGTCTAATATTTGAATCTGACTTCTGTACTGGAAGGCATTGTAGAATTAGGGATGAACTGATTTATTAGCATGGATTTATGCAGAGGAGATGATGCTTAACAAATTTGATTAACTTCTTTTGAGGAGATGACAGTGAGAGCTGAGAGGGGTGAAGCAGTAGACTTAATCTGCCTGGACTTCAGGAAGGCTTTTGATGTAATACTGCATAAAAGACTAGTATATAAGGTTAGTAAATATGCTGTTGATGGTGAATTCTAAATAAAAAAAATAACTAATAGAAATTCAATTCTTTAGGATGAAATGTCATACCAAATGTTGAATCCAGTTCTGTTTGTAGTTTTCATTAATTACTTGCACTGTAGAATTGCAAACAGTAATGCCCAGCTTGTGTAGCTTCTGTATTTGTTTTTGTTTCTGATCTGATATCTTCTATTTTGTAATGATTGATTTACTTTCAGGAACAAAATTTGAGGTTTAATAATTAGCTAATAATTGTTTTCTCTGAATTATGTCTTTAGTGATCCCTTTCGAGTACCTGGTTCAAAGATGAGATCCACAAAACTAAAAGATTTGTAAACCCTAGTAACATAGACAAGCAGAATTGCAGATGTTACTAACTGCAAAAAACTCTATAATATTTTATTTAAGAATCCAGTCTACTGAAACGAGGCTTGCTACTTAAGGATTTTCTGCAATATTACAGATATTTTAAAAGACCTGAAATAAGCTGTCTGTACGGCAAGATATGTGTGCTTGAAAAAAATTGTTAGAGAAGATGCTAAAGAATATTGGGATTCTCTTCAAGTGGGAAGCCATGAATACAGGAACAGTAGGAGCCAGAGCCAAAGGAATGAGTCTGTTTCCCATAGAAGTCGTTGGCAGAAAGCTGGAGAGCTTTGAATGTTTTTGGTCACATGCTCAAACAAAAACATTGAATAATAAGAAGATACAGCAGTAAACGTTAAGACAACCTTTTCTACAGCTGTGAAGAGTAGGAAAAACGAATTCCATCAGCCATGTGATTCCCAGCTTTTCATAATCTTGCAGGTTTTTTCCTCATGTTGGTTCTTTTGTTCTCTAGGAGAGAGAAGTCTTTTTTTTTTTTTTTTTAAATTGCTGTCATTCAACAGTCTCTCTCTTCTCCTGGCATGCCTGAGCAAGAAAGAGATCCCTGTAACTTTATTAATGACAATTTTAGCCTCATTTCCCAAAGGGAAAGCAGGGCAGAGATGTCAAGGAACTGCTGTCACCTAGGAGGACTTGGTGACTTTGTTCATCTCTCTCAGGTACTACGTGTCATGTCAGTGACTAGTGCCGAGCACCTGCCTGGTGGCATCCTGAGCTGAGATCCTGGTGTGTGGTCTCCGGTTAAACCAAACAGACTGGCACACCTCCAGCTGCCTCAGTAGACTTGTCAGCAAAAGAAACAACAAGCAGAAAATTTTCAGCACTTGTACTGGGAACACTTGATTACTGTGACTTGACTGCATGTGTCCAATTAATTCACTGGCAGGCCCAAGTAACAAAATGGTCTAGGTGGTGTGTGTTGTGCTTGAAGCTGTTGTGAATATGACAAATCTGGGACTTGATTAACAAGAAAACGATTCACAGGCTGCTGGTTTATATCCAGCTAGTGGAAGAAACACACTCGTAGCACTTACATTTAGCACTAAACCACTTAAGTGATATACAGGAATATGAAGAATTACTTCTTGACTTGCAGCCAGCAGCTCTTCAGGGCCATAGGATTGCTTATAAAAGATTTCTGTCTACTGGACAGTTATATTGTCAACACCAGAAGTTAGCCGTTCTCAGAGAAACCTGGTCCAGTTGTTCAGTGAACTAAATTGCAGTTTATCTTGCTGTATGTATGAAGGTTTGGTAGCAGGTTTAGTAAAAGGGTCTTAGATTTCATAATTAACTTCCTTGATTTACCAGAGTTTAAAATTTATATCCGTGCTGCACAACTAGTCTCCCTTCATCCTGTGACTAATGTATTGCTTATAAAAACCTCGTAAGAATATGATTGCACAGTACTGATTTTTCAAAAGGAAAACATATTTACGAAAGCTTAAAAAAAAGCTCTTGTCCAAAAAGTAGTATCTTTGGGTTGAGCTGGTAGGACAAGTCAAAGTGGAGAGAAGAATAGGAGGGATGAAAAGCAGAGTGGCCTTAACACGGCCGCTGGACTTCAGAGATCAGCAAAGGCAGCAAAAAGCAAGACTGTTTTATGCAAGGGAAGGTCAGAACCAGGGGAAAAGTTGCACAGATGCCCTCCTGTTTTTAACAATATGCAGGAGGCTGGTGGTGCCCTATGCCTCCAAAAAGCAAGGAGCAGAATGGAAAAGTTTCCGTTTATATTGCTCTTCAGAGCAGTCGGAAAGGATGCGTGCTGATGTTTATTTTTGAGTTAATAATTTTGCTACTTGGAAAGCAAAACAATTTATTGGAAGCTATTTAAATAATTTAGGGATAGCCCAAAATCAAAGCTCTCAAGAGACTTTTTGTCACCCGTGATATTTAAATAGCATAGGAATAGCCCAGTCAAAGCCCTTTGAAATTCCACATCTCTGGGACTTAGTGTCCTTAAGTGCACTGAGCTGCTTAAGCTTATTTCTAGTCTCTGGAGATGTGGTTTGAGTTTTGTAGTGCAGTTGAGTTTAGAATCTCCTATAAGTAGGAAAAGCTTCCATCTTGTAGCTGACACCCAAAAAAAAAGGAATTGTTGATACCCGCACATTAAAATATATATATGTTTAAGTGCAGCTAGTACATACTGGAAAGAGGAGTCTCACCCTCTGTTTTCATTCTCAACACCATTCTTTTTAAAACCAAAGATAGGCAATGATTTCATGTGTTTCATTTGTATTAAAATAATTGATTTATGTATGAGATGCACATTGCATCAAAAAACTCGTTAACATGTGAGTCTGTTGTTTCATATAGTTGTTTTAGTAGCACTTAGCTTGGAGCTAAGGAGCTTTTCTTGAGGCCGTTTATCTGGCCAGACCATGTTGTAGTCTGTGTTCTGATGCAGTTCATCAATAAAATGGCATTTATAGATTGACATTTTGTTCCCAAATCCAGGAGGAAGCCCTGAGGCGACAACGAGAGCAGGAAATTGCACTAAGGCGGCAGCGGGAGGAAGAGGAGCGGCAACAGCAGGAGGAAGCACTTAGAAGATTGGAAGAGAGAAGAAGAGAAGAGGAGGAAAGACGGCAGCGAGAGGAGTTAATTCGTAAACAGGTGAAAAATGGCAAAAGGGACCTATTACATTTAATTATGAAGGCTGCCAGAGCAAACAAGCTTTGAAACTTGCATCTGTGCCTGAGAGACCGTCTAGTTTTGGTGGAGGAAGGCAAAGCTTGTGGACAGTATCAAGTGCATGAAAAATAGGTTCTTTACCTGTATATTGATTTCAGACTAGATAATCAGAATCAAATCTACCCTTTGGAAAAGAGTTTTGTGTTGAATGAGTGTTTGCTTTCATGTTTGAGCCTTAAGAATGCCTTTGCAACATGCTATTTCTGCTCTTTTCTTCAAAAGAAAGGCAGAGCACAGTACCAGAATAATAATTCGGTTTGAATTGTCACTCTCTAAACATTTACTATAGAATTACCTTCAGCATCACCCAAGACGCTCAGTTTAGCCAGTCTTTCTGTGCTATGTCAAGAGTTATACCCACTAGCAAAGTCTCAGCTTTTTTATTCCCTTTTCTTGCCTTACTACTAACAGGTTTTTGTCCCTTGGGGTCAGCTATAGAAGTCCATATTGAGGAACTTCCTGCCTGCTAATTGATACTGTCACAAGTCCTAAATCAAACTAATCTTGAAACACAATTGGGTTCGCATTAACTTCCAGATCCATTTCAGAATTGGCAGTTACTGTTTAAAAATTCTTTTTCAGAGCCTTCCTTTGTAAGGCATTCATCACTGTTTGTCCCACCACACAGTCGTCATCTTTTTTTAGCAGAAGCATCTTTTCCTTTGCAACTCTAGTGTTCAGTGACAACAGTAAACATCACCATCTTTGTCATCTGTTTTCTTTTTCCACATCAGCACCTCTTCTCCCTTTGTTCCTGTCAAGTTTTATTCCAATGAAAGTATAGCAGTGCTTGACCGTAAGTAGTATAAGCAGGTAGAAGCTCAGACTTGAAAGATGCATAACTCCTAGAAGGAAAGTGATGTCAAAATAGCTAGTCTGAACTAGGGAGATGTCATTCTCTTCCAAGTCCCTTGGTGGTGCAGTGGGGTAACTTAGAATTTGAGGAGATACAGACTATATTATCAGGCTTTCTTGTCTGAGAAATGCAAAGCTGGATGAACAACCTAAACAGCATAGATTACAGACAAAGTTCTGTCAGGATCTCAGTATCCTAGAGCAGTAGTAGTTTAGATTTTTTAAGTCTGCTTAGACTTTACTCTTCCTTATATCCTGGGAAGGAAGAGGAGGCTGCCAAGTGGGCACGTGAAGAGGAGGAAGCTCAACGGCGACTTGAAGAAAGTCGGCTACGCATGGAAGAAGAGGCAGCCAGACAGCGGCTCGAAGAAGAAGAGCGAAAGCGCAAGGAGCTGGAACTCCAGCGCCAGAAAGAAATCATGAGGCAGAGGCAGCAACAGCAGGAGGCTTTACGGCGGCTGCAACAACAGCAGCAACAGCAGCAACTTGCACAAATGAAGGTAACGTGTTTCTACAGTTTAGCTTCAGTTCAGTGTACTAAGTAAAACCACAGCTGGATTCAGGGTTGTCTTGACTAGCTTGGATGGAGCAGGGAGGGATGAACTATCTGGAGAGGGAAGAGGGTAAACAGCTGACTTGGAAAGTGATGGGAGAAATGAGAGGAAGGTAAGTTGCAAGACACAAAAGAAAAAGGTTCAATCGATAGAGAGGTACTGGAAAAGAATTTGCGCATGAGTACAGATGTTTATTCTGAGCAAGGGCCAGTGCAGAGTTTTGAAAGCTTGGCATTTCTAAAGTGTTTGAAATCAGATTGATTGCAGTTTTTCATGCAGTTATGTGTTACCTGAGACACACTGCATCTTTGACTCTGTTATGCATCAGAGGGAAATTCAAAGAAACATATAGTTTATACTTTGAGTGTACTTTTTGATACTTAATTATACTATTTTACACTTGCCAGTGTTTTGTTAAAGTTTAAAGGTGGCCGCCTTTTCCCCTGTGCTGTGGGCTTATACTGATTTTTCATTATTATGCTTCAGCAGTATTCTCTAAAATGTTTTGTAATTCCTAATGATGTGGGGTTTTTCTGGCCCAGCTCCCTTCATCTTCAACATGGGGTCAGCAATCAAATTCAGGAGCTTGCCAATCCCAGACCACACTGTCATTGGCAGAAATCCAAAAGTTGGAAGAAGAACGAGAACGGCAGCTTCGAGAAGAGGTAAATACACCAACACAGTGTAACTTGTTAGAGCGGGCTCAACTATGTGACTGCTTAACTGTCAATTAAGTGATTAGAAAGAATAGTGAGGATGAGGAAGGTTTTCCTGAAGTAGCATAACTCAGGTAAAATCTAATCTTTCAGGCATAGGTTCAATAAGTACTTGCTTGAAGGTTTTTATAGCTGTTTAATATAAAGATCTGAGAGGAGGGGAAACTGAACCCTTTTAACCTCAGGAGTGTAAAACGTTCACGAAAAAATATAAAATTATTTCACATCTATACTGTAGTTTGTTTGCAGATACGCGAAAGTCCAGGGCGTTTTAAGGAGTGGGGGGCAAGTGGTGGCAGAAGAGAGAAGGTATTTGTCCAAGACCCCGAACGCTTAGCTGGCTGCAATCATGATTAGCCAAAGTTATTCTGTCCTATGCTCATGAGTAGTTTGTATATACTAGTTCCTTAGTGTCTCCCTTTTTGGAGGAGGTGTAATTGCTCAAGAAATGATAGATTAGCCTGACTCCTCCAGAAAAGAGTGAAATCAGTTTAAAACCAGTTTCCCAACTAGACTTCTGAATAGTAATGATCTTGTGAAAGTACGGACAAGGACTTTTGTCTTGCATACAACAGCAAAGGCGTCAGCAGCGTGAACTCATGAAGGCCCTCCAGCAACAGCAGCAGCAACAGCAGCAAAAATTGTCAGGCTGGGGCAATGTCACCAAACCAACGGGCACCACCAAGTCCCTGCTGGAGATACAGCAGGAAGAGGCAAGGCAGATGCAGAAACAGCAGCAACAGCAGCACCAGCAGCCGAACAGAGTCAGAAATACTACAGTACGTACGGTATTTATCTAATCGGTGTGTGGAGGGACACAGTACGTGACAGTTCTCCGTATCTGTTCATTCCTCTTCTGCCAGGACTGGTGCTAATAACCAGGATCTCTTTGTTATGTTTCAACAGCACTCTAACCTGCACACCAGCATTGGGAATTCAGTGTGGGGCTCCCTAAACACTAATCCCAGCAACCAGTGGGCATCTGACCTAGTCAGTAGCATCTGGAGTAATGCTGATACCAAAAACTCAAACATGGGTTTCTGGGATGATGCAGTGAAGGAAGTGGGACCTCGTAACTCGACCAATAAAAACAAAAGCAATGCCAGCCTCAGGTAGGAATTGGGGAAGGAGCTTTTCCAAAGAAAGGCTACCACTCCTGAGATGATCACTTAGTTATAACATCGTCATGTGTTTTCCTTTTTTTTTCTGTGTCACTCAGGATCTGTTTTGACAACAAAAATAGCTACTAGGTGACCATTCACAGTTTATTTTGTCATCTACTTGGAAAATTAGTTGGTTCTTAAAAAGTGTTTGCATCTTGTAAACTCTTGAGTCTTGTAACGCTATACTGTATGCTATACTCTTAAGTCTGGTAATTTAGAATTTATTATCTGTGTTTTCTTTATCTCAGTAAATCTGTAGGTATTACAGGTAGACAAAACAAGAAGGTAGAAGAAGAGGAGAAGCTGTTGAAATTGTTCCAGGGGGTTAACAAAGCCCAGGATGGATTCACTCAGTGGTGTGAACAGATGCTTCATGCACTCAACACAGCCAACAACTTAGATGGTAAGAGGTGGGGAGGAATGTGAATGATCCACTGTGAGAAACAATATCCTGTTTGTTTCCTGACCAGATAGTTCTGAAGGAAAGTGGTGACATCAAAGTAATTTGTAATGCAGTCAGCAAAATGGCATCACCTTCTGCATAGTTTTTGTTGGGCTAACTATAGCATATCAGTGGGGACTGGAAACAGTTTTGAAGTCCTGCCACCAAGAGCTCTGCTGAGGATTTTTGGTCATCATGGAAGCATTATCAGGCAGATGAATGAGGATCCAGATCACTTTTAAGTGCAGGCCAAATTATCATATGCCCCGTGTAAAACATTTTTGGGTATGAAACCAGTTGACTTTTACAGATTCTGCTGGAGAGCACATAGAGGAACTCCCAGTCCAAGACCACAAGCCCATACCTTCTTGTAGCAAAACGCTGCAGGCTTCCTACTGCCTCCACCGTGGACCTGTGCAAATCCTTGTGCTTCTGTGGGACCCTTGAACCTGACTGGGGAACCAGTGCTGCCCCAAGAGCCAGGATCACACCTTGCACAATTGCAGTACCACAGCTTCTCTCCTTCAGGGGGAGAGATCCTAGAAGTAACTTGTTGGTCCCAGCTGTGATATACTAACGAGCTGCATCTGGTGTCTGAGGTGAGGCTGGGGCCCTGCAGTGCCATCGTGGTTCACGCACCCACAGTGAGCTTCTGTTCCTTCCAAGGGTGCTTTGTGCCGCCAGTGGCAGCCTGGTGTCCTGGTGTCTTCCTGGCTTGTGGTTTTCTTTGCCTTTCTCCATGTTAAAATAAAACTCAGTGCAACAAAGTTAGCCTAGGGAATAAAAGGTGGTAAAGAAGGCTTGCGAGTGAGCTAGGTGTTGAACTTCAGGTGCTTGCAGGTTAGGTCAGCCACTGTGGAGTGTGGTCTCACATTAAATTGGAGCTTTAAAGCTGGTGGACTATGCACCCTTAGGATTGTCAGGTTTTTTTCCTTCTCGTCATGTTAGCTGGCTTTCTTATCCTTGCTTTGACTGTACAATAGATGAAGCATTGCATCATAGGACCTTACTGTAGAGAACCTAGAAGGGCACCCTGTTTGCCATTGCTACTGGATTAGCAAATATGTGAAACAGAAATCCAAAGTTTGTGTTTATTGCATGCACATGTTCACACATGGACACTCATTGCCTCATGGTCTGCCTTCTTCTTGCAGTTCCCACGTTTGTTTCTTTCCTGAAGGAAGTGGAGTCTCCCTATGAGGTCCATGATTACATCAGAGCCTATCTTGGAGATACTCCTGAGGCCAAGGAGTTTGCCAAGCAGTTTCTTGAGCGCCGTGCCAAACAGAAAGCCAGTCAGCAGCGGCAACAGCAGCAGCAACAGGTAAATCTTACTCACTGTGCTCCTCAGGAGTGTATAGAGACCACGTCTGAGTCTGAAGTGTCTCCATTTCTGCTGGATTGATAGGATGAGCAGGCTTCTACAGGTCATGTGAAACGCAGCGAATAAAGCAGATTTCAAATGGTAACTGCAAAATCAAGTTTCCTTTGTAACTAACAGATGAGGCCAACTGTGGATCAAATACACTTAGCATGCTGCTCCAGGATAGGCTTTAGGAAGATGTGAGGTAAATGTGTTGGCTGGATGCATCAGTGCTGCACACATGATGTAGAAAGTGCTTGGGGCTCTCTGAATGTTTTCAGTATAAAGAAACAAAACTTAATTGCACTTCATAATCTTCCTTTATTTTCTAGGATTCGGTGTGGGGCATGAACCACAGTTCACTACATTCAGTCTTTCAGACCAATCAGAGCAACAACCAGCAATCCAATTTTGAGGCTGTGCAGAGTGGAAAGAAAAAGAAGAAACAGAAGATGGTTCGCGCAGATCCCAGCTTGTTAGGTCAGTGTTAATTTTTAGAAATTAACATTTAATTTAGGAAAAGCCTTGTGGAGCGTGGAGTTCTTGTTATCTGTAGATGAGAATGTTGAATTTGAACAGAAAAGGTACTTGTTGAAGCGTCTTTAGAATTTGTTAGTATTAGAAATTTTAAATCATTAAATAATACATCAGTTTCATGGAAAACTTTTGTCCAACTTTCTCATGAAAAGGCCTTTTCAATACCTTGATTATTAGCTGGAAGCCTTTAAGTAGTTCAGAGATGTCAGTTAAACTGCCTTTCCTCTTTTGAGCTGACCTGTGCCTATTTTGTTGGATTAATATGAATTCATTTCTCTAAGACAAGCACCTTGTCTGTCCTGTCATGAGGAACCGCTTCTTGAGGCTGCCTTTATTCCTTCCTCCCTTTTCACATGACCTAAGCACCCTAGTCAGAAAAGATGGCAAAGATCTTAAGAAAACAAGACAAAAAATGGTCACAAGCTTTCAGTTGGAGGCGGTGGAGATGACATCATTAGTAGTCCTTTTTTTGCTTTTCATTTTCTCTATCTTAATTTTTGTGTGAGGATGGTCGTTAACCAGCCCCTCTAGCATTGATGGGAAGGTTTCTTTAAAGTGGCCTTTAAGATACAAGGGCATCATGTAAGTATGAGTGTAGTGAGCATGGTGTAATGCGTCACTAGTATCCTTGTACAATGAGTATGTCCAAATTTGTGCTGTGGGTGATAAAAAGGAAACTAGGGCACTGCACTGGGCCAGTATTCGTTGTGCTGGTGCCACTCAGTGCATACTTGTATAAAGCAGTCTGGTATTAACCACCTGGAAGTCACTGCTCTTTTAAGGCTCTAACAGAGCCCTGCCTTTGTTTTTTACCTTCTCTCATTATTCTCAGCAAAATCAATACTTTTCAATTAAATCAATGATTACTGCATTGAAGGATGCTGAACTATTCAGTGGAATCCTGACTTATGCCACCCCAGATGCTCATCTGCCGAGTCTGATCGGGGTCTTCAGTTGAATAGTTTAAAAGCCCGCTTATGTCACGAAGAAGAAATCACTGAATACAATTAAGAAGTTGCAACTGTAAAAGAAATAGCACATGCAGCTTCTTAAAAATCAGTATACTTTTATTACAAAACAATTCCAAAACCTTTTAGGTGACATACTGCCACGAGAGGGAGCTGGAACAATTTTCTTAAACCTTCTGAACAGAGCAATAAATGTCAGGTTTGTGTTCAGTAACCTTACACAGGAAGACTCCTTTCTCTCGTGCTCCATATGGGGTTGGTACCAGCATGAAAACTGGATTTCGATAGGAAAGTTGCATATGGTACATTGGATTTTTTCCGCGTAGGAAATGTTTTTGATTTTTCTCACACTTTTCGCATGTGCATCATGTGCTCAGCACTTATGGTTAAAAAGTCAGGTAGAAGTTTAGGAGCACCTTGAGCCATCTGCATAGCCCTACACAATTCTGTACATTTGCATGTTGTACTCCTGAGATAGAAGACTGTAAAAAAAAAAAAAAAAAAAAAAAGCATGGAAATACAGGGAATCGCCACTAGATTTCATGGGTATGTGTACATAGACTTTGAAGTAAGGGGTAGAAGCGCTGAGCATGATTCCACCCTTGGATCCTGAGTTCACAAAACATATGTTTCTGTGCCTTGGATGATGTAAGTACAGCGCTGACAGGCGCTTCCGAGTACTGGTTGTGACTGGGGTGTGCTCCCTTCCAAGAGGTCACTGAGGCGCGTCGGCACGGTGCCTAGCTGTGTCTCGTACTGTCTCTGCAGGTGACATCCTGTAAATGAACGTTGAAACCAGGCTGCTTCTGATCTGTTTTTAAAGACCAAGCGATACTTACCTAAGTACACAATTATCTTTGATTTATTAAGGAAATAAAACCAGCTTGGGTGATTATATCTCTAGCCTGCCTGATTTTCCTCCCAGGTTTTAATTTATGTTTTCTTCACTTTATCTTAAATATGCCACTGCATCAAATACAATATCCTGCATCCAGATTTTAACACAACTCCTTTGGCTTACAGGGTTTTCAGTGAACGCCTCATCAGAGCGGCTCAATATGGGAGAAATAGAGACTTTGGAAGACTACTGAGCATGTGCAAATCAACTGGCTTTTCCTGCGTCTGTTAACCATGGATTCTCCGTTTTGGACACAGTGCTCTCCACCATGCGTTCTTCTTCGCCTCGCAGTGAATCACAGAATCAATCATCTCAGGCTGCTTCCTCTGGCCCCAGCAAACCCTTTCTGCCCAGGACTGCACAGACGTTGTTCCTGCTGTCAGCCTAGAGTCGAGCGGACTTTATTCGGAGTCCTGGGAGGGTGGGAGACAGGATTCGTTCGCAAGGAGGCTGATTCGGGCAGCAAGCTTTCACTGTGCTGTGATTTCTTCTGCTGACATACCTGGAAAAAAAAAAAAAATATCAATTGGGATTCTGCAAACCATTGCTTCCCTCTCCTGGTTACTCTTTCCACATCCAACACGTGCAGTCATGGAGAGAGAGAGTTTGTGGTTAACAGATGTTGGTCAAAACCAAAATGCCACACAGATACTGACTTCCGCGCTCCATCAGGGCAAGAGGTGCTCTCCCAAGCCAGGAGTTGCATTCATAAGCTAACGTTAGAACTGGCAACAGCAGGAGAGGGGCGGTGGCGGGCGCAGTTTTGCTTGGGTTGGTTTGAAGTTGCACACCCCCTGCCAGCCCTTCTCAGCACATTGTTTTTGGAGGGAAAGCTCGAGTCTGTCTTCATTAGGTGGTGATGCTGAAGCTGGTGGAGTTCCCCGTCGGCATACTCCAGCCTTCCCGGACAAGTGGGGACTTCTACTCTGGGAAAAAAGCGGGGTGGCATCTCTTCTTTCAGGTTGAATTTACCCCTTAAATGCTACCTTCGGAGGGTTAGGACCAGTTTACTTTGAGCTCTTTTCCTGCAAATTTGTCTCGTTTAAGAGACAGTAGGGTCTCTACCGTGCGGATCTTTGGTGAGGGTGAACACTGGCTTTCAGATATATACCCCAGCAGTCTTAGCTAGTTGTCATTTCAAGCAGTGCTTAGGTTAACGAGCAGAGATGCCCTTTTGTCACGAAGAGAGACTGTGGAGGGCGAAGCTATGTGCAATGACGGCCCTGCTTATCTTCTACACCTTAAACTACTTCACACACCTTCACTGGGATCCATAATGTTTAAGTATTTGTGGAATCATAACCTTCCTCTCTCACCGAAAGATTAACACCACCTTCCCTTCTCCACCTGCCCACGTGCACACACCGCGAAGGAAAGAAAAGGAAAACTGCCAAATGCACTTAGTTTCAACCCCCTGGTCCCGTCTCCCGTTCCCAGAGGGTTATAACCTGCCGAGGGAGATACGCTACAGTTTTGGTGGAGTTGTATAAAGGTGTCTGTCTTTCTGTCATCACTGCCTAAAGAAAACAGTTCGAGTTGCTCAAGAGCAGTTTGGCTTTGGATTTTATTTCGTTTGGTTTATTCATTTTTTGGGGTCACCTTCCCCCCCTCCTCCTCTTCCTCCTCTCTCTTCCCCCTGCCCCCAAACATGTACAGTAACTATACAGAGACTGCTGCAGACTTGTATATAGTTTTTGGATCCAATAGCATGGAGAGACTTGGAACTGTTGCAAATCTGGTCTCCCTGTCTCCTTTGCTTTGTAAATTCATAAAAGGGGGAAGAGGGGTAGTTAAAATGTTTACAAAACTTTAAACTCCCTCTGAACTTTTGCCAGTGTCGGGGGGGAATAAGAGAGAACTTAAATAAAACCTGGTTGTATTATATCTGAGAGAAAACTTTCTGCTTGCTTTTGTCGAAGCTGAGTTTTGAGATAACCCCTGGTGCTAAAACTGACCCCAAACTTGACTCGCATCAGTTTTCATCAAGAAACAACAAGCAAATACACGGGATGTGGATCAACAACTGCTGCTTTATTTCTTCCCTGGTGAGGAATACTGGTGGGTTTTTTTCCTACTTGATAATTTTAGAGTGCAAATAAACACCAGTAAGTTGGGATTGGAAAATTCTGACAAGAAAGCTTTAATTTCCCCCCTGCTCTCTGCACAGAAACACGTGCATTCACGCTCGTGGTGTTTATGCAGGAGAGATGGAGCCACGGCTGGTTTTCTGTTACTCCAGACACTCGGCCATGGAGCCTTTCTTTGCCAGTCGGTAACCACCCCACCCGCTCCAGTTCCCTTCCTTAAATGAGAGGTTTTATTTCTCACCTCAGTGTAAAGTCCACATGGACACCTTGTAGGCTTCCTTTTTTTAGACAAAAATCTTAATTTTTCTTTTTTTCTACTTGCTACTTGTTTTCATGTGGAAAATCCCAGTAAAAGTTGATGGTAAAGGTCTTTTTTCCATTCACGGGGTCACAAAGAACATGAAGTCAGTAAAGAACTAACTTCTACAGTAGCTTTGCGTTATGTTTAGCTGATGTCTTGGAGAGAAGAGTACATGTTTAGGCTGATAATTTAACTTTTAACATCCTTATTTATTTATTTTTAGTGTGAAAGGTATCTGGTTCATAAGTACTTTCTGGTTTTTAATGGTGTGATCTAATTTCTACAAGCTAATTTTGAACTTCTCTATACTGTGTAAAAAGAAGCAAAAGCCTGTGAGTTTCCAGCCCAGCTGGCGAGCCGGAAGGGAACAGTTCACCAGCTGCCAAATGAAAATGTGGAAATGCAAGCAGGGAAAACGTGCAATAATTTGTCAGACCCCGAGGACCTTGCTGGGCTTCTGAGAACTTGTAGATAATGGACCAGTGGGGAAGATCTTGCTCTTAGTATTTTAGTATTCTGGCTTCTGTATTCAGTACAAGGGTAAGACGGTGGCATGTTCAGATTGTGTGCCGAGGTGACTGCCCACCCTGTTACCTTCTGTGACGAGCAAGGCCTCCTTCTATAGCAGAGGTCACTTGGGTCAGGAGGGATGGGCAAGACAGGAGCTGCGGCTTCGTGCCTACTGCTGAGTGTGTATTTATGCGCTTCCAGATCCTTTTTGAACAAACTTGAGCCTGGAAAGCTAACGGGGCTTTGATCCGAGTTTGAAAGCTGATGTTGAATTTGACACTAGAGATGTCTGAGGGTTTTTTCAAGCACGTTTCACCAGGTTGCTTCGGAACTTTTTGTTTCGCGGCAGGGACGGTGCTTGGTCTTCTCTCTTCTTCCTGCTTCCTCTGGCAGCCAGGTGCCTTGGCAAAGAACCGCAGCGAGCGGAATGGCTTACAGGGACACCTGAACTGTACCTGGCTGCCTGTCAGTGCCAAAAGGCAGAGAGATCCCTTAGCAGAAAAATCTGAAACTGGACTTTAAGACAAAACTACTTGTGTCCCATTTTCAGACCACAAAGAACTGACACTGGGGACGGTTATGTGCTTCATTATGTCTTTTTCTGAACAGAAACCGTGAAGTATTTCATCCTCGTATCAACTTGAAAAGAATCCCAACGAAATCCTTCTGTTGACCTTTCTGTACACTTCATCCGTTCCCAAGTCTCCATGGGTGCAAACGTGATTTGAAACAAACCTCAGTTTTCTCGGCTGTGAACTTGTCAGGAGCGCGCTCAGAGGGGAGGGACGGAGTGGCAGAGGGTTGCAGGAGGAGGCAGTGTCTGTGCAGCTCGCATCCGAGGAGGATGCCGGCCTCGCCTGGCGAAGGAGGCTCTCCTGGAAGGCTCTTACCAGGTTTTAACGGGCAGTTCTGCCAGCGGAGACCACAGGCGGCTCCTAGTCCACCTCCGTAAGTGTTACACCCAGAAAACAAGGATGCCACGGAGCTGCTCTGGCTCTGTTTCAGAGCATTTTAGCCTCAAAAGATTGAGGCCCTTGTTCTTTGCTGTGCCCACCCTGGAAAGACCACCGCTGCCCTGCACGCCCAGGAGAGAGCTAAGCCCTCAAGCGGTCTGCTTGGTTTCAGGGTTAGCTGCCCCAACAGCTCCTCTGTTATTTCCCGTGTGGTGGGATGGCCGGCCAGGGAGGGAAGGCATTCTAGGAGCATCCCCGTGTCCTCTGGGAAGGGCTCGCCAACAACTGCTCGTGTGTGCTGGCCTGGCAGGGTGACGGATGCGTAACGGCCGGGCTGCCTGTGGGGCTGTAGGCACTCGTTTCGGAGGGTGGAGCTGCCTTCGGGAGGAGGTGCGCTCTAGAAGGCGGAGAGGGAGAGTCTCTGCTGGGCTTTGCACTCTCTCTATCCACTGGCTGTTGTGAAGGAAAGTTGGTTGGTTTTTTTTTCAACCTGACTGGACAAAGTTTTTATTATACCAGTGAAATTTCCGAGTTGTTTCATACTTTGAAGAGTTTTAAGAATTCC